GAAGAGTCCTTTCGATCGAGGTGTCCAAATTATGTTGTCAGGTTCAAACAAGCTTTCTCAAGAAGGCAGAGTAAACTGACTAAGCATCCCCATCTCATCATTCCTTAAGCCTCTACGAAATCCAAAATCCCAAGTAGGAGCCCAAGGGGTTTCCAATGAGCAACAAAATTTGGAAACAACTTTTTTGTAGCGAGAGATAGAAAACAAGGAGGGGAAAAAGGGGTTTCAGGGGGACATCTCCAACCCAAGTGTCTTCCCAAAAGAGGATGAAGTTGCCATCACACACATCATACCTGATATAACTGAGGAATTAGGGAAGAATACTGTGCATTGCCTTCCAAGGGGTTGCTGAAGTTGCCCACCTTGATACACCATCATCCCATCTATTCTCTGAGCATCCATGTATGCTTCCGATCACCTCATGCCACAACCTGACTCTCTCTAAAGGCCACCTCCACAGCCACTTCCCTAGTAAGGCTGTATTTTTCTGAATTAAGTTCCCTAATCGGAAGCCTCCTTCATCTTTACTCCTACACACCACCTCCCACTTAATTAAATGATCTTCCCTATTTTCCCCTGGTTTCCAAAGAAAGTCTCTCACTAATTTTTCCAACTTAGCTTCCCTAGCTAGGATCCTAAAGACAGAGAGATAGTATGTTGGAAGGTTCGCAAGTGTAGCTCTTATTAAGGTGGTTCTTTCGCTCCACCCTAGCAAAATGTAGTTCTTTTTCCATGAGGCCAATCTCTTCTCTAACTTCTCTACAACTGGACACCAAAACCTACTCTCCCCGAGGATTTGCTCCTAGAGGAAGCCCCAAATAGGTCAAAGGCCAAGTAGAGATAGAACACTCTAAGCACTCTGCAATAGCCTCCACTTCTCTTAATTCCAAATTAACCCCTGCAATGCAATTCTTTTCAAATTTGATTTTCAAATTATAGAGACTTTCAAAGTTTCTAATCAGCATCTTTAAACTTCCCACCCTCTCTTCTCAATCTCAGCCCCCTCACAAAAGATAAAGGTATCATCCGCAAACTGGAAATGGGTAACTAGAGTCTCATTTCTTCCAACTTTCCACCCTCTAACTACACCTTCTCTATCAGCCTTAGAGATTTAACGGCTAAGCATATCAGCAACAAAGGTGAAAGAGGGTCCCCCCCTGCTTGACACCCCTTCTAGCTGAGAAGAAATCCTTCACCGCTCTGTTCACTAGGATTGAATAGTGACAGGAACTAACACAATCTAAGATCCAAGTACTCCACTTTTCACCAAGCTACAGTTTCTTAAGACTTCACTAAGGAACTTCCAGTCCACCATGTCGTAAGCCTTTTCAATATCCAACTTACACACAAAGTCTTTCCTATCAAATCTCCTCAAGTCCTCCACACTTTCATTGGCAATCAATATTTCATCAATTATTTGTCTTCCTTGTACAAAGGCCCCTTCGACTTGGCTGACTAAGGAGGAGATAACTTCTTTATGCCTCAACATATTGATAGATTAAACAATTCTAGAAATGAATATCTCAAAGAAATAAAAGAAAGATGACCTAACAGATATGTCATGTTATAACCCAACTAACAAGCACGGTAGAAGCAGCATTCCCATAACTGTGACCATGAAGAGACACCTTGGCTGAAGAGGAAGTATCAATAGGATAGATTCCATCCACCTCAGGACCACTTCCAATCATCCTCCTCGAAGTCAGATCCTAAAAGTTACAATGATCAGGAAAAAAAAAGTCACCGGGCAATTGAAGATTTTAGTGATATTGCTTAAAGATAAAAGATTAGTACTCAATCTTAGTATCTCTGATCTGGATCTATGATAGGTATCTACTGTACCTAGCAGCATTCAACATTTCCACTGATAGAGGACTAGGAATGGAAGATGTAGGTAATTGTATCTTACCAAAAGTGGAAGCTTCATCCACACTTCTTCATTTAAGATTACTCTTTTTAAACCTTTGAGGTGTAAGATGGGAGAATGCAGCTTCCATCATGTTTCCCATGCATATTTCAGCTTCTTACGCTACCCACATGCTGCTACTCAGCACCACTTCCTTTCCCAATAGATTGAGGTGTCATAGGTTTGGCAGAAACAAGATTTGTATGTCTGGAGTATGTGGCTGCATCATGACCTTCCTTGTATTGTTTTTGTATGGGCAAGAGAATCTTTCTTTAATAACTATCCATAGTTTTCATAAGAAATTTATAAACTTCATGTTTAAGTCTAGAAAATTAACATTTATGAGAAGAAAAAGAAGAAAGGAAAGAAAATTCAAAAAATATAGGGGCTGAACCCCTATTTTTGTTATAAGAAAATTCAAGATAGTTATCTCCATTAAATCTAATAATGGTGACTCGAGTGTTGAGATTATCCCTGGAGAACCCCTGGGTTGCTCCAAGAATCAGCACCTTGTTTGGAATCATCACTATTACTGATCCAGTGATCTGTTCCTCTCAAAAATGATTAAAGCAATTCTTGAAGCTATGTCACAAACAGTTCTCAATCAACAACAAAGAATCCACAGCTTGTTTGGAGTCATAACTATTACTGATCTATTCCTCTCAAAAATGATTAAAGCAATTCTTGAAGCTATGTATCAGACAGTTCTCAATCAACAGCAGCAATAATAAAAGATAGGGTCAAATATAAAAATCTCCCTTGAGGTTTCTAACAATCATAAAAACCTCCCGAGGTTTCACTTTCACAAAACTGCCCCCTTAGTATTGAAAAAACTTGCAGTTACCTCCCTTTTGTTATTGTCTTGGATGGAAAATGTTGGTCTAATGCATTAGTTTTTTTCAAAAATACCCATTATACCCTTGTATCCATCAATTAATTTTCTAAAAAACCCCTAATAGAGTTTTTCACTTTTAATTAAAAAAACTCTCCAAGTCGGATTGAAAAAATAAAGTAATTTTACTCTATAACAATGTTAGGTCTAGTGAAATCTAGAAGGGAAAGTCTGGCATTTTGAGTTATAGTAGAAAAGAAAAAAAACAATAATCTGATATGATAACAGTGAGAAGAGAAAAAGAGAGATCTTAGTGAGAAGAGAAGAAAAGAAGAGACGGGGAGAGGCCAATAATGATCTGGCCACCCCACTCATTATCTTATATACTTGTGAAAAAGATTGATTACAAAGACTAAAATGCCCTTAGTGGGGCGGCTACTGTTCATAACATAAAACAGCTCCAAAAATCAACATAAACTAATGGGCCTTGGGCCCAATAACACTAACTAATGACCCAATAACACTAACTAATGATTATAAACAAGAAAAATCATAAGAAGCTGCTGAATCTCAACAATTATATTGGAAGATGCCCTAATAAGTTGTAAGGGTAATTTTGTAACTTTTGAGTATCCATTACTGGGACGAAGATGGAAGGGAGGTAACTGCAGATTTTTGTAAAACTACAGGGAAGGCTTTTGTTAAAGTGAAACCTCAGGGAAAGTTATTAACTTATTATGATTGTCAGAAACTTCAGAGGTGGTGGTAGGGTGGCTAAGTAAAGAAAACAACAGATTATGGATGTACAGTAACGAGAGGAGGAAGTTTAGGTGGCTGGTTCAAGAGATGGAAGTTAAGATTAGCTGGGTGAAAAGATCAGCTAACTCTTTTGCGGATGGGTTAGCTAAGCAAGGAGTCGAGAGGGAGTCATTGTTTTGGGCACCAGTGTAACTTTTTTCCATTTTGTTCTCGGGAGTGTTTAGCTCCATTTGGAAGATAAGAAAGTTTATCTTCCTCTCTGTAATTACTTTTGTGATTAAGTAATGAAATGTTGTTATTGATAAAAAAAAGGTCAGAAACTTCAGTGGAGGTTTTTATGTTTTACCCTAAAAGATAAAAGTAAATAAGAATGTGGCCCAACAAAACCATTACACAATTAGCCCATAAACTTCAGTGGAGGTTTTTTCCATGCCAACTGGTTGGTATGCCCATTTGGTATGTTCGATGCTTTGTTGCAGCCGAGACCTAGGATCTATTCCCATTGCCACCAGGGTTGGGGAGTTTTAAGGGGATGGGCTACTGCCGTTTTGTACACAAAAAAAAAATGCTATGTCCATACTCCATAGTGTAAAATGTACATAACTTTCCTAATATTTCCATCCCATATTTCCGTTTCCTTGGGTGTGGACACGATATTATTGGAATGGACATATTCCCCAATGAGAGCTACCAGTGCTATGTGGAGTACAAGTGATTGTATTATAACATAAGTTGGCGACAATATTTTAGAATCATTTGCACTTTTTGAGTTTTAATTTTGTTGGAACTGACACTATCGTGTAGTTTTAATGATTTGGAACAAGATATAATTTAAAGGGGTAGACCATGCATTTTTTTATCATTACATAAAATAGCTTTCTATATTTTAGCATATTTAACAATGTTTCTTTCCAATAAAAAAAACATGTTTCTCTGTGTCTATATTCGGATGATCGATCACTGACACCAACATTTTAAACCTTGCCTATGACAATTATTACTATCTTTTATCATTTTTGTTTTTGTATATCCATCATATTTTTCTTCCACTCATATGGCATTTTATTTTTTTAGTAATCATATCAAACAACTTAATCAACCATAAGAAGTCCACATTCCCAACTTAGTAATCATATCCACGCTTGTGAATCTACCTGTGTATTATCTCTCAGTTTTGTCATGGATTTTTCCTTAAGTATTTTCTGGTGATCTCGCTTTATTTAGTCTTTTTTAGTTTAATGCACAGTTTCTATTTAACTAAAATGCTTCATCTACCTCTGGATCTTGTTATCAAACAACTTAATCAACCATAAGAAGTCCACATTCCCAACTTAGTAATCATATCCACGCTTGTGAATCTACCTGTGTATTATCTCTCAGTTTTGTCATGGATTTTTCCTTAAGTATTTTCTGGTGATCTCGCTTTATTTAGTCTTTTTTAGTTTAATGCACAGTTTCTATTTAACTAAAATGCTTCATCTACCTCTGGATCTTGTTATGCAGAGGAGACAAGGAGGTGCTCCATATGGAAGTGGACCATATCGCAGATGTAAGTCCTAATCAGATTTTTCCTTGTTTTACTAGTTAAACTGCTCTTCAAATAATATGCTTATTTTGTGATATTTTGGAACTTAATTTCCTAGTTATCTTTTTTTAACATATTTTGGTATTAAATTTGCTTAATTGTCTTTTATTTTCCATTCAATTATTAGTAGTTAGATGTCTTTATCGCCTACTTTATTCAAATTTAATGGATCCATTAATAGAAAAATTCCTCCATGCTTTTGTTACTTCAGAATTTTTTTACTGTAGGGCAAGGTTTTCGAACTGCCATTGACCCGGACGGTCGGACCATTTGGCCTGGGAATCATCCAGGCAACCGGTTCCGTTTTACCCCAAATCCGGTCTTTGGCCAAAAACCATTGAAAAAGTCAACAACCTGTTGACCCAGGCGGTCGAACCGTCAACCTGTTAAATGGCTTTTGACCGTTTTTTATTTTTAACTATTTTTTATTTTTAATTTGTTTGTTAGAATGGGCCATCTGTTCGAACGGGACGGTCGGACTGCCAACCTGGAAAGCGGTGGCCAGAACGGTTCCGTTTCCGGGTCGTTTTCTAAAACGTTGCTGTAGGGCTTTTTTAACTTTAATTGGTCTTCTAAACTTTCTATTTGCCTTCATTTTAATATCCTTGTCCTAGTACTTGTTATTTTGCAGACTGACTAGCACATTGGATTCGGTTAGAAATACTAATTTAATTATTCAGTCACAATTGAAGACATCAAAGACAACAATTTCTGCTGATCATCGAATTTCATTCTTATCTGATCTGGATGTCAAAGTTTTGTATAAAATGCTCACATGAACGCCAATGAGCACATGAGAAGTTCAAATACTAATTTTTTTGTTCCTTTTGGCCATTTTCTTTTCTTTACCTTGTTTGTACATCCAAACCATTGGTTGATTTTATGAAATTGAAATTCGGGATGACTTTTTGGTCTCTTGGGGTTACCCGCTTATTGGGCGTTGTGTATAGGAATCCATCATATTGTAGCCTGACATTTTAATATTTTCCGATAGTAGGATGGCAACAAAGATTTAGCAGGGTGAAGTTCAGCAATAGCTGGATCTGGGGAGGGCAACCATATGGGTCCAGCGGCCTGATTTTCTAAGTTTCTAACAAGAACATTGAATATATAGAAAAATCAGATTATTTCTAGCCATCGGATTAATATTTTTATACCATTATTTTACTTTATAAGCATTTTTCTCCCAAATGCCCAGTTAAATAGTAGGGATGAGGGGTGAGTAAGGGTTGGTTTGGTTTGGTTCCAAACCTAAAGTATTCAAGTGATCAATCAAGTGAGAACATGGTTTTTGTATCTATGAGTGCTTGGGTTCAAAGTTTCACACCTAAAGTATTCTAAGGCTAGTTCACCAATGTCAATGAAGGCTGGTTTTGGGTTGACTTGGGTAGGGAAAACCCTGGGCCTGAGAACTGATCTGGGTGGGCGTTGGTTCCAAGTATTTGGAAAACCAGATCCTTTCTCGTAACAAATTTGATAGGATTGGTTCAAAGCTGGTTCAAGGTAAGTTCTATTGTTTTGAAAATCGGACCGGATTGGACAGTCGAACCATTTGACCTGGAAAACAGTCATATCTCTGGGTCTGTTTTTCAAGTGGACTGCTTGAAAAAAAACTGTTGAATTAGTCGGAAAACCATTGACTTAGGTGGTTGAATTGCTAAACCGTTCGACCCAGGTAGTGCGGTTCACGGTTTAATAAAATGTTTGTTATTTAATTATTGAAGAGCATTTATAGGGAGGAGATCGAGAGACGGTGGAGGGATAGAAATGAGATTTAGATCTGAAAACACTGTCCGGTGATGGGAGTCATCACAGCTGCTGCCATCATCATCGCCAGTGAACCGCCTCTTCCTCCTTTCCTTCCCTTTTCTTTTCTTTCCCAGCCAACATCCACTTCTGACCTGGAAGCCAGTTGTCAGAGCGGTTTCGGTTCCAGGTCTATGTTTAAAACCTTGGTTCTATTTGGTTCTGGGTAGAATCTACCCATTAGCTTATTCCTATTAAATTGAGTGAAAGTCAGATGGTTTATTAGTGCCAGCCTAACTATTAGATTGAATCCATGGGAAAAATGTTTCCACAGACCAAAATTTGGCCAACTTCCAAGTGCTAAGCTGAGAAAGAAGTCAGTTAAATAAGAAACTAAATCCCAAGTTACAGAACTATGATTCTTTGAAAACATTCTCCCCAACTATGGTTGTAGGTTGGGTATGACGAATTGGAAAAAACCAGGTTTGGAGGCAATTGAACAGTGGGGTTGATTGGAAGAATGGTTCGATTTCAATTTAGGTGGTCTCTCTCCGGTAACAACGAGATGACTTTAGCTGGGTTTTAGTTGCGGTTTAACTTATCTGCTAGTTTGTTTTACTTGCTTTTGTTCCTGTATTTTGCAATGGTCAATCCCCAAAGTACCAGGTGAGCCATCATCTATTGATCTGTTTCCATCCAATTCATATTAATATTAAGATTTTTATCTTGTTTTACAGCACTGATTGATTTATTGGGTCAATGGGTTCGGGCGCAAATCATGCTATTAGCAAAGTTTGCATTTTTAATCGAAGATACTTTAATTGAAGACGCTGTGTATCGATCGATATTGATGCATATCGGGCGATAGAATGCTTGTATCACTCTGTTAAGTATGCACGATTTATAGAATACGTTTCCATTCATAACGTATCCTGTATCGTCACGTTTTCATTCATAACGTATCCTGTATCGTCTTAATTCAATACTGATACGATATGCCCCATATCAAATATATTGTATCAATGTACATGCCCAAATTTACTGCATATCTAACAAAAGTAGATACGAATGAGTTTTAGTAACACACGACTTGAGTTGGTTTTGTAATATTGCGATTATTTTAACTATTGTTATGTCATGATCCTGTATTAGCAACATCGGATGATGGAGTTGAACTAGGTTGGATGCGTTAATAAACAACCGTGACTTATGGCAGCTGAGTAAGGATCCAACCAGTCATCAAACAGAGAGCTTTAATAAAAGACTACTAAGAGCCAACAGAATATAAAGAATAAGGTCTCTTTTGGATGTTAGCATACATTAGTTCAGCAGCAACAGTAGTAATAGGGGTATTCACGGTTTGGTTAATCGAATTGTGGGGCATTTTTTTTTAACCGAACCGGTAGTATCGGTTTTTAGAAAATTGGTAACTAGAATTGAACCGAAACCAGTTGATTAACTGGTTGATCAGTTCGGTTAACTATCAGTTCAGTTTGTTGGTTTCTCGTTTTTTAGTTTTTACATTATATATAATAAAAATTATAAATATATATAAAATATTATGTTTTAAATAATAAATAATATATTATAAATATATATTTATATATAATGCATATTTATTAATTTATAACATATAAAAATATAAAATATATATAATATACATAAATATATAAAATATATAGAAACTTATGTATATTGGTTAGTTCAGTTAACCGCCGGTTTTTTATATTGGTTAACTGTAACCGAACTGGTACCTTCGGTTTTTTTTTTAAACATTGACCAGTTCAGTTAACCGATTTTTCGATTCAATTTCAGCCGGTTTTTTCGATCGGTTCGAATTTTCAATTTTTTTGCTCACCCCTAAGTAGAAAGATTATCGCCTATAGATTTGACCTTTGGAATTTGTGATAGATTGAGCGCATTCATTGTTTTTGTTTGAAGTTGACATCAGAGTTGCAGAGCACGAGATTGAGATTAGGAATGAGAAGCAAAAGACTAGGGTTGTCAATGGGTTGGGTCCGACCCGATGGACCTGGACCGATTGAACCGCTTCTGGTTCTATAATTTGTCCCAATGGGTCAGTTTCAATTCCGAATAAATTGTTTCGATTATTCTCGGTTTGGAACCGGGTCCACCATGTCCCAAACCGACTTGGACCCAACCCGGCCTTATATAATTTTAATGTATAATATATATAATAGTTAATAGTTAATAGATTATATATTTTATTTAATATTTTAAACATATGCCCAAAATGGTCATTTCAGTATGGTTTCATTCAAACCCCTACCCAAATGAGCCTTTTTTGTTTTCTTCTTCAATATTGGAAAGGCTAAAACGAATCGAAAAGGTACATACAAGCCCAATGTAGATTTATGAATTCCACTGAAGATCTATAAACATTTAAAATGTCAAAACCCCCCACTCTATACATCAATGCCTCTGTGAATTGACATCAATTTCGAGTTGGCACCTACCCCAATTGTACTTTTGGCCTAAAAATTCTGACCTTGGGCTGAACCGTCTTTCTCCCAAAACGAATATGGAAGTTTCTTCTTCATTGGAAAGGCAAAAATGAAGCTGGAGTTTTCTTCTCCATTCAAACGGCAAAGGGAAAAGGGGCTACAGTTGAGACAACCTAATCTTCTCTCTCTCCGTTTGTCTGTCTCTCCTATCTTGCTGTTAGTATATTCTCTCTTGTTGCTCTCGTCTTTGTCACTGTTAGTCTCCTTTCTCGCCAGTCTCTTCTTTCTCTGTGGTTTCTTCTTTCTCCGCCATTACTCTATTTCTCGTGTTTTAGTTTTTACCAGTTGATTTCTTTTTTTTTGTTAATAGTTGATCTTCACTTCTTTACTATTGAACTCAACTATTGGGATTAGGCCATTAAGGGTATTGTTTGAAATCAATCTCCAGTGTTGAACTTGGTTGTTGGGATTAAGTCATTAAGGGTTTTGCTTGAAATCAATCTTTGATGGAGCGCGATCTGGATGCTCCTAGCTGGAGGACAGCTTGGACGTCGGTTACTTAGTTGGCTAGTCGAACTACAAGGCAAACAGGTCTCAGAGGACCTGGGGTGGCTTGCCCGGTGTGGTCGCTACGATGCTTAAATTAGTACTCAATGTGTGCGAGCTGAAAGCTTGATAGCAAGTAAGCTAGAATGCAATAAATTGTGCGTACCTTGGGTCACTGGGGTAAATTCCCTTATATAGATGAGCTGCCGTGAGTCTCACGGAACACCTCCGAGATCCTCAGGCCACACTGTTAGGAGTTCATTCCGCTCTAGAAGGCTTATCATGTCCGTCCGGTCTGGGCGAGATGAGGATAAGACCTAAAGTCGTGCGGCCTGATCCCAAAGAGTTCGGAGACAGCTGGCTTGCTTCTAGAAGTCCGCTACGTGTCACCTCTGCAGGTCGGGCCATCACAAGGTTACATCCACTTGTCCACTAATTAGTAGGTTGAGCCAAATCACCCCTCATCAATCTCCATTGTTGTACTCGGCTATTGGGAGTTTGAAATCGATCTCCATTGTTGAACTCAGATGTTGTCTATTTCTCAAAGGTTTATTAGTAACGGGTCCATCGGGTTGGACCTAACTATTCCGAAAACCGATTAATTTGGTTTTGGTTCCAAGATTTACAGACCCTATAGGGTCTGGTTTGGCTCTGGTCCATGATATTTTTTGTTGGTTTGGGACCTGTTCTACCATGTTCCGAACCAGACTCGGCCCATTGACAGCCCTACAAAAGACCTAGCAAGTGCAGCCTAAACTTGTGTAGTAATTAGGCCACTACTTGAGGAGAACCCCCTCTGCTAATGAAGAGATTAGCACACTTAATACAAGTTTGTCTGCTTGAATCTATGCCTAATATGCTGGATTAGGAACCATACAATCAGGATCGATTGATCTAGAATATGAGCTAGTTGGTTGATGGGTCAAGGGTTCTTCCATGAACTAGTCCCATCAACTAATGAGCAACATTGAAAGGAATTAATAAATAAAATGATTGAGTTCAAGGGGTGCATTCACTAATATTGCCTTTCAAAGTAAATAATTGAGTTCAAGGTGCATTCACTAATATTGGCTAATTGTTAAATTCGGATATCAACCAATCGCATTAAGATCTATTTATTTTTCATTGATTCACCTTTCAGAAAATGTACTTTGATG